AACTACTTGCATTAACCTGTTGAGAGTAGAGATGTCCTACCCACAGGTGATTTCAAATATCCTGTTGACAGGATTTCAGCTTCAGGAAAATTGCCAGGAAAAACACGCAGTATAAGAACAAATTGGGCAGATGGCAATGTTGACTGATGTGACATTCCCGGGCCAACAATGTGGTTTTCCTCCCAGAACCATTATTGTAATATGGTGCGTTCCTAAGCAAGCCATACAGAGCTGTGGGTCAACCACTAACTATTTTACAAAGTTCTTCTTTGCACGTGTCTATCTTGCTGTTCCCTTTCAAGACATTCCTTAAAACCTCCTCCTTTTACTAAACTTTTAGTAATCTGATCTAATCTGGTTTGATTTGCAAATGGGAGGTGAGAAAAAGCATTTTAACACAATGAGTCATTAAGGTTTGGGATACACTGCCTAGAAATATGAATTAGGCAGGTTCAATTGAGATAGTCAGAGGAGCATTAGATGATTACTTAGACAGAAATAATGTGCATGTGTTTGGGGGTGGGGAGGGAAAGCTGGCGATTGGTATTATCTAAAGTTCATTTGAGGGGTCAGATCAGACATGATGGACTGAATTGCTTCCTTCTGTGCTGTAACACTTCAGTGGTTCTGTGATGTCATACTTTGTTTCATGATGCTACTGTCAAACACCATGGGCTTTTATTGTCTGGAAGGTGCTATATTAATGTAGGTTATTTTGATATATGATTTGTTGTTCTCAGGCTCAGTAGAAGACGAATTGAGGTCTGCCTCTGCCATTTACTATAAACACTGTCATGACTAGCTTATTCAGAAGGACTCAGGACCTTGCTAAAGAAGCTGGCTTTTCCTAAAGAAGAGTTGAGGACTTTGTTTGACAGCAGCCTCTGTGTTTACTTCATTGTACAATTAATAGTACGTCATGGAATTGAGACAAAACTCAAGTACAAAGTTATATACCTCCACTATATGAATGCTGTTAAATGTATGTAAAATAGTGTTAAATGAATACTTTTCTTTGGCCTTCACTCTGGAAAAGGCGAACATAGGTACAGAATTCAGGAAAAGGGACCGTGAGGAGCTTACACAATTTGACATTGGAAATGGAGAGGTATTGGAGGCTCTGACAGGCTTAAAAATGGACAAATCCCTGTCCAAGATGAATCGAATCCCAGGCTGCTGTGGAAGGCAAGGCAGGAAATTGCAGGGGCTCTGATACACGTTTTTAATTCCTTGCTGGTCATGAGAGAGGTTCCAGAGGACTGGAGGACAGTGTGAGATCGTGTTCAAAGAACCAGATGACCGAGATCAGTAAGTGGCGAAAATAGCCTCTTTATTGTACATTCACAGCAGCAAGATTTAAGGTGAAATAGAATCCCAAAATCATAGCTCAAATGTAGCCTCTTCTATACAGAATTTGTGCATACATCAATATTCCAACACTTGAGTGTAAGGAATTAGTTATTGTACAAAAACTGTCTTGCAGGAAATTGGAGATGGTTTAAACACTTGCTAAGTGTTAGCGATTTTATTGCTAAGTGTTAGTGTTTATTCTAATGACATTAGAGTGTCTGTCTGATTTGTCCTTGCATAATTCAAAAGGTGTTGGTCTTTTTATTTCAAAAGTTAGAATGTTGGTAAAAATGTATCCGAGTTTTAAATAAAAGTTTGGATTTCTATCAATCACGGCTGTCTGTGACTTTTTATTTACTATTGCCTATTCATTCAGTTTCACAGTCACATCTGTTATTGCAGCGCTGTCAATTTCATTCGTACCTTCATTCATTCAAAGTCACGTGGTTCTGGACATAGCACTGTTAGTTTAATTAGTAGATGAAAGGTGGCTTATATACATGACATAGTGCTGTTAGTTTCGTTAGTAGGTTAAAGGTTGCTTATATATACGGCATTGAATAAAAACTTGGGGCAAGGTAAATCCTGTCGCCTACAAATCGTATGTATGATCTAGTACAAGAAAGCCTGCAAGGAAGTGGCATTTTGCTTCTAAAGAAGAGGGCTAATTCAATTGTCATCTTTGAATGATTCTTGAAGTTATGCTGGCTGGAGAAGTGTTTAGAGTAAGAGGTTGGGGATCGTACCTATTCAAGGCTAGGTTTTAATATGTAAAGCACTACTTTTGGTATGGAAGTGTAAAAATGTTTTATCCTGTGACATTTATACAGTTTTGTTAAATGTGTACACAGCTGTTACGCATGACTGCACCTTTGAGTGGAATGTCAACCTTGTTAAATGGAGCTGTGTACATAGTGCGTAATGCATGATTGCACTTTTAAGTGGAATGTAACCTGATACAGTAATGCGCTTCTGAGTTGGTCTGAATGCGGTGGTTGTTGCACAAAAATATGTAATTAATATTACATGCCATCATGAACAGTGATACAATCATGAATAATTATTAATGGACATGAATTATGATGTATCAACAGCTGAAGTGGTTCTGCTTTTCAAGAATGGGGTTAGAAGTGAACCAGGAAATTACAGACTTGTGGGTTTCCCATCAGTGGTAGGGAAACTATCGGAGAAAATTCTGAAGGAGAGAATTAATATCCACTTGGAAAAGCATGGGTTGATTATGGATAATAAGCATGGCTTTGTCAGAGGGAGGTCATGCCTAACAAATTTTAATTTTTTTTTGAAAATGTGATTAAGTGTGCAGATGAGGGAAGTTCAGTTGATATAGTTTATACGAATTTTAGCAAATTTTTTGATAAGGTATCAAATGGGAGACTGAAGGTTAAAACACATGGAATTCAGGGAAACTTGGCGAGATGGATAAAAATTAGCTTAGTGATAGAAGGCTGTTTGAGTGACTGGAGGCAGGTGTTTAGCAGTGTAGCACAAGGATCAGTACTGGGATGCTTATTGTTTGTTATATGCATAAATGATATAGATGAAAATGTGGAGGGAATGTTAAGCAAGTTTACAGATGACCGCAAGATTGGTAGGGTGGTTAGTAGTGTAGAAGGTGGTTGTAGATTACAGGAAGATGTAGGTGGGCTGATCAGATGGGCTGATCAGATGGGCAGAGCAGTGGCAGATGGTATTTCACCCTGATAAGTGCAAGGTGGTGCACTTTGGAAGAAGAAACAAGATGAGGGGCTGTTTAATGAATCGCAGGACACTGGACAACTCAGAAGAACAGAGGGATCTAATTACTCACAGATCCCTGAAGTCAGTGGAGCACATGAATAGGAAAGTTAAGAAGGCATATGGGATATTTGCTTTCATCAGTCGTGGCATAGAGTGTAAGAGCAGGAGGTAATGTTGGAGTTGTGCAGAACTTTGGTTAGACCACAGCTGCAGTACTGTCTGCAGTTTTGATCACCTCACTACAGAACAATGCGATAGCACTGGAGGAGATACAGAGGAGGTTTGCCAGGATGTTGCCTGGGATGGAGCAATTGATCTATGAGGAGAGACTAGATAGGCTTAGATTGTTTTCTTTAGAGCAGAGAAGGCTAAAGGGGCTTAAGATTGAGGGGTATGGATAGGGTGAGTAGGGACCAGCTGTTCTCTTGGTTCGGGTGGGGGGAATCAATCACAAGTGGACATAGTTTTAGGGTAAGGGGCAGAGATTCAGAGGGGGTTGGAGAAAAAACGTTTTTACTGAGAGGGCGGTGAAACTCTGGAATGCACTACCTGGGAAGGTAGTGGAGGTTGGAAACTTATAAACTTTTAAACATATTTCGGTGAGCACTTGAAATATCGTAACATTCAAGGATATGGGACATGTGCAGAAAATTGGGATAGAGCACTTTCAGTGGTAGCTATGTTGGTGCAAACTCAATGGACCGAAGGGCCTTTTCTGCACTGTATGACTCTGACTGAGAGAGTAAAGATTAAAAAAAATGATTGTTTAAAAAGACCGAAAATCATTCTAGAATTTCAAGTAAGTATCATTTTCAAATAAAGGATATAAAGATTGTGCAAGTTAAACATTCCTTTGTTTAACCAATCCACTATACCTGAACCTTGTTCACCCAGCACCACCTATTCTCCACTGCGTCTCTCCCTCCTCTTCAATGATATGGAAGTGTGTCTGGAAACCCTAGTTCTAGTGTCTATAAGAGTGACTTGTATCCCACCTAACTCCTCTTCAAACGTTCACTTTGAATTGAGAGACTGCTGTCTCTAAAATGCCTGTTTGACTCTCAGTGCTACAAACACTAGGTGTCTGTGGTTACATAGATAAAATAGGAGTGAAAAGTAAAACATAGAAGAGCCAGAGAGGAACAGACAAATTAAATGAAAATGAAAAGTCACAGTGAGAAAGAGAAACAGTTATAAAATTAAAGTGATTGCTAAATGAAGGAGAGAATTCAAAACAAGGGACAGAAACAAGTCCAGAATTGGAGGAGGTTGAAATGACTTAATTCAAAAACTTCTTTTAAAGTTCCCATTTAACTTATTTAAATCAAATTTGACATAAACCAATGCCCTTTAAATACAAAGGCATAGAATTGTGGAATACAGCTCCTGAAGTCTGGTTAAATACAATGGAATCCTGTAAAACACAAATATTATTTGACGTACTGAGTGATTAATCAGCACCTGTGATAATTCTTCCTGCCCAAAAATATTTCATTATACATGATCATCTTTAGTAATTGAGACACATGAATCCAATTCACTTAACCAAAATATTTGGTATACCTGAAATCAGGCCCTTACTTGAGCAATGTTAATTAATGCTAGGCAAAATTAATAACTAAATATCACATACAAGCTCCACATACCAGGACAACTTGTGAATAAGTGATCAGAAAAAAAAACACTTGTTCGTAACTTGCTGTCATTGTCTTTTCTCAAAAACTAAATACAAGTTATTTTTCTCCAAGACTGCAACTGTAATACCTTACAAAGGTTACATTCAGGTGTTACTGTAGTGTGTTTTTATTCCTGTTAGCAAAACAGCTTGAATTGTTACAGTCCCAAATATGTGAAGATTTTAACTACTATTTTCCACTTTCTCATTTAATTAGAGGGGATCAGTCACGGAAAAGAGCTGGAGAGGAGCTAATGTTTAGTAAGTGATTTTAGTTTTGCATGTGTTTTCTCAAAGTTTTTTCTAGTAACATTGCAAGGGTATGCTAATTGAATGTGAAGCATACTGTTCAGGAGTTTCTGCTAGATTCCATTGATTTTTTTTTTCGATAAATTTCGATATTGAAGAGTTTCAGGGACAAATTACATTCACCATAAATGGAGTTTTCACAGCCTAGGTTAAATATACACCTTGCTATCAAACAGTCTGCAGAAAATCCTGGCCATTGTTCTTGAATGAACTAATCACCATTAGGAGTTTTCACATATTGTGACTGTCTGCTGACTGTTGAAGGACTCTTCATTCAAAGCTTTTATATTTGTTACTTTAGTAATGAACTGATTACTGCCCACCCCCACCCCTCGTGAAACTAGTAAAGGGTTCTGTTTAGTTTGTTTGTTCTTTTCATCTTTTATCAAGTTTCTCTCAGGTGATGGATTAGCCATTAATAAAACTGTTTAATTTTGTTACAAATTAATTTGTATTAATAAAGCTATAGGTTACTTACCACTCTTATGTAACTTGAAGAATATTTCCTAAAACCTATTATTTTAAAAAGTACATTATTATAAAATGCTGCCTGATTGCAATAGTCCTGATTGCAAATGGAAGATTTTGGGTTGGATTTTGTGTAGAGAAGCCTCGTATTATGGTGCTCTGAGCCAGAGGGCTATTTTTGAACAAGGGGCCCATAAAGGGCTCCCACTGGGGGCCTTGTCCAATTGAGGACAGTAGACAGCTTTTTGATGTTGAGGGTCAATAGGAGGCCTGTTCAGACTCCGAGATCAGTACCTCCACCATCAGACAGGAAGTTGCAGATGCTGGTAGGAGAAAACAGAGGGCACCTTGAGTTGGAGTTGGAGTTGCTCTCTGGAGAGTTGATACTAATTTTTTTAAGTTGGGTGGAGCACTGCTGCCGGGAGGGCACCTTCATTCCTTGGCCTCAGCAAAGGGGCTGTATGCTGGGTGGAGAATTCTGTAATGGGATCTTTACCTGAAGTAATTAACTCCCTGCTATTTGTGAGCATACTTTTTACCTGTCCCTTCCCCTGCTCCTGATCCTGCATTCTTGAAAATGCCTGAAGGCAGGATGCTAGCATGTTGGCCAGGGTTCATTGGCTTCAGGTCTCAACTCTGCAACTGAATGAAAATTTGACCCTTTGTTTTCATTGTTGTATTAATAAGTGGAAACTTGAGGATTTTTTTTTTAAACAACCTTTTGAAACTAGAATAATTTGGGGCACAGTTTGTACCTGGATTGATAATTTCAACCAAAGCAGTAACTCCTAGTTATAACTTTACCCATGTCTTAATTTAGTTCCTGCCAGAAAAATTGTCATTTTAAAACATATTGCAAATGCTTACCTTTCCTTTTATCTCCTGTTATGATCATGTTAATCCAACAATTCTGATTCTGTCTCTTGTGTTTTAGATGGGTCAGCATCAACATCATCATGTACAAATACAAGGGCATTCAGATAGTGAAAAACTGAAGACTCGTTTTCTCTTGCCTTGGAAGAAGGACAAAACTGAAAGGCTCTTAAACCATGCAGTGAGTCATGCAATGGAGAGGCATTTGCTGAAGTTCAAGCCTATTTTACTCTTGCCCTCCCCTCTTAAGAGAAGGACTTGTCATCTTTTTAAGTTTTTTGTTTCTGATGATCATGCTGCTAACAGACTTGGGAATACTCTTTGCAAAGGCTCATTATATGGTGTGCCTGAACTGGTTGTATAGTGTAAAAGTTCATGTTGAGTGAACTTCAGCATCCTAGCAATGGTTTCCGAATGGAATTTAATCCTTTTTTTGCAAGAAGCACAGTTTCCAGCAATCTTCTAGCATGCTAGCCATTTTCATGACTTTTAATCATCCAAACACCCCGATAAAGGTGCTCCCTGTTCTGCCATGTTGGTCAGGGAATTTTTTTTTTGTCTTTGTTGAATTCCTAAACGTTTGTTCTGTATAAACAGGTTTTGTAACTTGGTCTTTACTGTCCACATCAGTTAGAACATTCTTCTGTCACAATCACTACTAAATCTAGTCCATTTGCAACTAATTTAACTCAGTGGTTTCACAATAGTGAGAAATCATGCACATCCAAATGTGGATGTATGGTGAACCAGGGATGTTTTGTTTAAAAAATCTTGAGAATTCATTGTTGGTAAAGGATTAACCAAAACAATGTGTGCAGCAGTAGGCATAATTGGTCTTAAAACCCAATCTACATACACGAAACCTCACTTGCATCATTTTCATTGAATGTATTTTCTATTGAATACAGCATCACTCAATGTTTATGTAACACTCAACTAAATAATTACTATCCCACTATACCAATTCTGAAGCATTTTACCAATTTTAGTATTGTGATATATTTTGCTATTGTAGGTGTCTTGACTGCATGAAGACTGCCATTTTTTTTTTAACCTTATTCCCCTTGCCTATCATTTTGAATCTGGTTAATTAAACAGGCGTCAGAATGTGAAATATTTTTTCCTCATACAGTTGGTCTGCTGTATTAAATTTGAGCAGTTAATGTGTACATTTACTACAATTGTTTTCAATATTACACGCTGCCTCATTGTGAAGGGCATGAATTTTCAGGACCCGGAAGGAAAGGACAAAAGCACAAGAGGAAGAGCATGATATTACTCTTATGGGTAACTTTTGAAGTTGGTTCAGCATGACTGTAAAAGCCTCAGCAAAAATGTGAGAGAACAAATAATTGTAATTTTGGGTTAACATTGAGCAACTTTTGCCCTTCTGGCTATAGCAGTTATTTCAATTGTGCAATAAAACCCAAAATCGGTTTTGGTTACTAAATAACACTTTTTTTTTGCTCATTTGTGTAACTATTTTAGTAATAGCTTACCTTTGTAGCCTTTAATTGCAGTCTGTTTGCATAATATGAAGAATGCAATAGATTTTTTTTTAATCCATGAGTGAAATGTTAATAGTAAGGCGTAACCATGAAAATCAGTGATAACCCATGGTCCTTGTAGAGTGTGGAAGTTCATGTAAATTAATTTATTATCCGAGTGTTGCAAAGTATAATTTCTCATTCTACAAAGCAATGGAATATGACTCCTCAGCAGCCAGTCTAAAATGCTTTCAGGTTTCTTCTTAAGGCCACTTCTGTAAATTAGAATACATACTTAACATTCTAGATGAATCAACTGTTAATTTGAAACATAATGATCTATTTCCCAACTCTCAACCCTCTTGGTGACTATAATAAAAAAATTGGGGTTCAGTGACAAAAAATAGAACATGGCTCTCTGCATTTGGTTGAACTGATCTTGTGGCACTAACAGACTAATGAGAGAATGTTCCTCCAGTTCCAGATTCTTATGAAGTGGCTAATAATGCCTCCGATTATTTTTGCTTATTACTGAGAGATGTTTACGGATACGTGTTTTAATTCCAATCCTTTCCCTTACTATTTTTATGGATTTCCCATGCTTTACTGTGATGAAGAAATTTGATTAAAGATTTCCCTTTAGTCTAATGCACTAGGTGCCAACAGAGCCGAGATCCTGAATGGCGCACACTGTTTTCAGAGGCTTTTTGAGCAAACTGGCAATTTTGGTGGAACTGTACTGCACTTCCGACTGGTCCTTCAAAGCCACTTTGAATTTACTATAGAATTTACAGCACCAGAAATGGCCATTTAGCCTGATTGGTCAGCTATTGTTAATGTTCCACATGACCATCCTGCTACCCCACTTCATGTAACTTCATCAAAGTAGCTTCTAATGCTTTCTATCTCATATGTGTAACTAGTTTCTCCTTAGATGCATCTAGGCTATTCTCCCTTGTGGAGCATGTGTCACATTCTCACTTCTCTCTAGGTAAAGATGTTATGCTGCCTCTTATTGATTGGATTTATTGGTGCCTATCACATATTTATGCCCATATGTTTTGGACTGACCCAGCTGGGGTAATGAGGAACATGAGTTTTCAGTCCTATGATGGAACTGGTAATAAACTTATTTCAAAAAATATAGTTAAAAAGACATTAGGGACTTAATTGTAGTTATTTTATATTTTTCCTCCGCACAGTGATGGAGAGTGTAAACATTTGAGTGTCCACCCAGCAGCATCTTATTTCACATCATGCACACCATCAATTTAAAACATTTACTTGCATTTTCATCCCGTAATTATGGTCATCTGTGCTAATACTGCGATGTAAACTCAAAATTTTTTTTTCCTTAAATGCTTTACTTTTACTATTTTGGGTAAACATTTTAAAGAAAAATCTTCTAATGTACAAGTATACATTCCAGATATAAATCATAGTGCCTCATGTAAAAATGGGAAATAATGAGGACACCAATTGACTTTTCTGTCTATTGAGATGATATTCAAATGGAAATAATTAAGATTAATTTTATAATGCTGATGCCAGTTTCTAATATTTATGACATTTGGTTAAGGGAAGGGGTATGATTTCAATAGTTATGTTCTTTGTACTGAAATTATAAATGGGTCTTTAAAGAATGTATTTGTGATTTGACCACTCTAAGTAGAATTTGACAGACTAAATTAATTGCAATTATGAAATCTTCTGCTTGGTTCAGATATGATAGAAAAGCAGTTAAAATTCATAATTTGCGCAAAGCAATTTTTTTAAGAATGTATAATTAAGAGTTGAAATAATTTGACCTAGTTACACAGTTTCTATGCATTAAAGCACGATAAGGATAGCAGATAGATGAGGTGATTCATAGCTGACCATAGCTTTCAGGTCGGCTTGCACACATGTCAAAGCAAGTTCTAAATTAAGAAGTATTAGTTTCTTCTAACCTATGCAGCCTCAGCTTACGTTTCACCATAGCCCCCTCAGGGAAGACTCAAGGCTGCAGACAAAATTTATTAATATGCTAAAGGCTTCTCTGTATTTAATTGCTGGCACAGTTTTGTCATTCTTTCAACCCTGCTGACATTTTTCATTTATCAGGCAGATGCCCAGTAAGTGGCATGAAAAGGTAACCTCTTAGGAGACAAAGACACGATGGCAGGTTTTGCTGAAAAGTGTCGCTTTAAAAAGACGTTCTAAATGCTATTATCTGAAAAGTATATTAATAAAAGTTTTTATCTTTAAAGATGTCAACAAAAGACCTTTGCTTATGATGAAATTTCATGACCAAATGCTCAATTAATTCATATAGTTGCCAATTAGAGCTCTGGTGACCAAGCATCAGGAACAGAGAACAGAGGTTCAAATCTTTCAACCAGCCATAGTAGGAGGCATTAAACAAAGTTTGAGGATGGCAGGAGAGGATTGATAATAGGCTTTCATTGTAAATCTCCCAGTGATTGCTACGAGTGACCCTGGTAGTTTCTTATTGCCAAGTTACCTACCGCATTTACAAAAGACTCAATATTGAACCCTTGCAGTGAAAATGAAAGTGGGGTATTGATGAGAGAAAGGGGTTGCAAATGGAGACAGTGCACAGAAAATGAGATATATGGACATATATACATATTATATGTATTCTGACCTTGGTTGCAGCTTGAATTAATAATGCTGTTTTAAATTAATGTTGAAAGTTCCAAATTTATATTCCAAAGTTTATTTATGAAGTTGTTCCCTTTTCAATGTGAGTTGTTCTGCCAAAGGTTGTTGCAGGTTACAGATATAGTGCAAGGAAACCAACAGTGATTTAAGTGGAACAGTCTATTGACGCTATTTTGAACGACTTAAATTCCAAGATTCCCAATGTAAAAATTGTAAAGCAGTTTATATATTAATAAATACAGATAGGCAAAGTAAAGTTAATGCATCATATGTGTCCTGTCATATGTCACAACTGGCATCACAAGTTTCAATGATTCTCACCTACTATGTACTTATCCAGGAAAGGCATTTAGTTTTAAAATCCTAATCCAGTTCCGAAAGAAGATAATTCTGGTAAATGCCTTTCTGACCCCAAAGACAATGGGGTAACAATGTTTGCAAAGTAATTTGCTACATACTACACAAGCCGAGAACGTACTGTAAACGATTGTGATCTTCTTTAAAAAGAAACACATACTAAAATCTAAGTGTCTTCTGTGCAGATTAGTTCACATTTAGGGCATGTAGTTACTTTTAAATAAGTCTGTTTTCTGAACTTTTATAAGGAACACTTCAATCTGAAAAGTGAAGTACAGTATCTTCAATGTAATATACATATCTGTAAACCCTGTTAGAAAACTTGACTGATCTTCACTTGAACTGCTTTATAAGTATTGAATTTTAAAATAGTTTTAATTTCAGATTTCTATGGAAAGGTGACTGTAAAACATACCCGTGTTTCTACATTCCCTGTCAGAATACCACGTCTGTAGATAGTTGGGCTATATTGTATATTATTGGGAGATCCACAATGCAACTAATGGTTGTCCATGTTTAACTTACTCCAAGTGAATAGCCTTAACCCACTGGTACTTGATTGGTGCATAGCACCATTGGTTCCTGGAACATCTGGTCATGTTTTTATTCTGGACTTCTGCACTTAGACAAAATAGGCTGCGCTCCTGTAATTGTGAAAGTGCTTAATTGGTGCAAGACAGAAAGCAGACTCCAGCTCTGAACTACTTTTTCACTGGGGAGAAAAGAACTCTTGGAGTGCCTCTGCAGAGAACTAGATTGGACTCATTCCTATTCCCAACTGATACTGAGCCTTGATCATTGCAGAGATGTTGGTTTTAGCTCTAAAAACAAGGCTTCTCCAAGGGCTTATTGTATAAATATGTATCAATTGGTACAGACGTAAATGTACTGGATTCAATTTCTGACCTGTGTTCAATTTACTGTTCAAAGTTTAGGAGCTGTTGGAGAGCTAATATACTAGGACCTGAAGAAAGATTAGGGATTTTGCTCCTGATTTGTTTTGTGGCCTTACTGTTAAAAATGAACATTGGATGAGGGCAGAATAGGACTTTGTCTGGTACATTTCAGATCTCAATACCCAGCTGGTACTCTAAATATAGACTCTCACATGAAGAATGGTCACTTGATGAGCACCTGAGGGCCACAAATAACTAAAACCCTTTGGCCAAGTGAGGAATCAACTTCAGGATGGGAGACAGGAGGAGGATAACGTGGAATTGGCCTCTGTTGGAGGGAAATACTGTTCCTCCTAAAATGTATGGGCAAAGAGATGTCATTTTAATGTGTTTATTGCAGTATGGAAACTTAGAGGCCAATTGAAATTTCATCACAGGCAGAAGTTTCATTTTGCTTACCTTTTTCCAATAGATGTTTATGGACAGAATACACTGAAATTGCTTGCCTATGTTCTTTTGAAAATATATTTTATTGTATAGATTAAATGATTGTATTTTAATTTTGAATGCAAACTTTCTAATCTGGATATGTTCTTTAATAAGGCACTTTAAGTAAATTGGTACAATTTTTTTTGTGTTCAGTTTATAGACCCCAGAACACTCCTTCCTTCCACAGGTTTCCAAGGCTTTTAGACTGTAAGGGATCATTAAAACTCCTAGGAGATTGCAGCATTGGGATTTAAGGGAGTATCATTTTTTCTCATGCTGCATATTGCAATGAAGTGATATTCATTATTGATGATATAACTTGACTGTCATTTAAAACTAAAAGTTAGACCTCTGCAGCACATTTTTTTCAAAAGTGCTCAAGCCTGTATAACAACATCCGAACAGTTCCCATCAAAATCTTGTTTGAGTACTATAGTAGGGTTACTTAGTGTGTCTTCAAATAAAGATGCTGCTGTGGTATTGTGGTCCTGTTAATGTATTTTTGAATATGCTTGGAGAAAATAATTGCAGGCAAAGAAGAATGTTAGAGTTTAATTGGTTTCAAAATGCAACCTGTAGAAAACAACAAAAGGTGGTTCACTTTGAATAAAAAAAAGTTTAAAATTAAGATGATACATTGCATAAGATAAAATAATTAAATTAATGTTTGCACTAAAGTAAAGTCATACTATATGGTAAAGTCACTTATTTTATTAAAGGAAAATTGATTATTAATTTGGTATTGGATGTCTGAAATGTGATCTGCAGTACCTTGGGTGTGTACCGCTCTTTCAATAAAAAATATCCAGTTTGCTGCACACTTTCCAGGATTTATTTTTATAACCTTAAATATTGAAAATAACGGTATTTATTTTTATTGTCTTAATTATTTTGAGGCAATAAAAGTTTTTAGGTCTTGATTTTGTGCATATAAAATTGTAGCCTTTGATCTGGTTGTGATTTTTACTTACTCTTCATTTTAAGTGGCTTTTTTTTGCATTTATGACACCTATATGTATTCTATTTGATCAGGGGCCCTCATGATTTAGTTTGTTAATTCTGTATAATTCTTGTATTACAGCTAAAGCTCCATCATATGTCATAAAACTTATCAAGCTATTGTTTTCTGTGGAACACCCAACTGGAGGACTATCTTGATTTTTCATTTACTCCATGTTTATTACAACACATTTCCCATTGCATTGTGTGAAATATTACTTAGCTGGCTGAAATCTTATGACTAAAGAGTATTGTAAATCTAAATTAAAATAGATACCTGTTGCAATTCAGAATTATTTCATTATAGCAAGGATGAAATATCTTCCCACTTAAAATGTGACTAACCTGACTAGCCACAACATTGATAACCTGTGGCAGCAACTTGCAATTATGTAACTTCATTAATGTAATATAGCATCTGAAGGTGCTTCACAGGAGCATTATAAGCACATAAGAAATAGGAGTGGGAATAAATCCTTCAGCCCTTTGGGTCTGCTCCATCATTCAACGAGATCATGCCTGGTTTATTTCAATATCTATTTCCTTAACTGTCTCCTTATCCCTTGATGTTTTTGATATGTAAAAGTTTATCAGTGTCAGTCATAAAACATGCTCGATGACTCCAAAGGTTTACCACCTTCTGAAAAAGTTTTCCTCCTCATCTCAGTCCTCAGAATCCTATTGCTCATTCTGAGACAGTGTCCCCTGGCTATGGTATGACTAAATGAAATTACCTCTCACTCTTCTAAACTTTAAAATGAAAATATTGGCCCAGTCTATTTAATTTTCCTCTGGGACAGTTCCTCTGATCCAGGAATCAGTTTTGAATCTTTGTTACGTTCCCTGTATGCTAAGTACGTATTTCCTTAGAAAAGGAGAGAAAACATGATATTTCATTTCCTGTCTCGCCAACAATCTCATAATTGTAGGAAGAAGTCTTTGGTCCTATAATCAAATACTAAAAAGCAACACATGACTTGGGTACTGAATTGCTTGTTGTGCTTGCATATTAACACACAAAACAAGAAACACAAATCCATTTGAAGTCCAACATTTCCCAGCATCTCATCATCTAAGAAATTTTCCGTATTTCTATTTTTCCATCAAAGTGGATAACCTCACGTATTTCTTAACATTGTATTCCATTTGGTAACTTTTCGCCCACTCATTTGACTGTTCTAAATTCCCTTAAAATGCCTTTGTATCCTAACAACTCTCACACCCACCTTGCTTTGTGTCATTCCCAAATTTGGATATATGGTTAATCCCTGTATCCCAATGATTGATATACACTCTACACAGCTGGGACCCAACCACTAATGCTTTGGCACCCCATCAGTCACAGCAGCCAATCTGAAAATTATCTATTTGTTTTTTCTGTTCATTAACCGATTCTCAATCCTTTATTGGTGCACTGCCATCAAATTTTATGAGCTGTAATTTTGTCTGCCAGCCTCATGTAGGACCTTATCAAAAGCTTTCTGAAAATCTTAAGTATACTACATCCCCCAGTTCCTCCCACTCTCTTATCTATTCTGCTAGTTGCATCTACAGGAAAACTCCAAGTTAGTTAAGCTTTTCATAGTAATTACTGTTAGAGACCATGACTTTATTTTTTTTTCTTGTTTTTGATTTGGAACTGAGAGTTGAAGTTAAGAATTGAACTTTAAACAGTAGCTTGGTTTTTAAAAAAAGAACAAAAGACTGATGTTTGCTTGTAGGAATTGGTCTGGGAAAATGATGCAAGTTAATTATTGCTCTAAGAACACTAGGTGATCTGGCACAGAAATAGTGTTATGCTCAGGGACTGGCAGCTGATTGGATGTTGGATTGGTCACTCAAGGGAGGATTGGTTTGCCGGCAGTAATCACAAAGAATGTGGAAAAAGGAAAAAAATAGAGCGAACTGGTTCTAACTGGATTTTGGGCAGGAGGCAGGTTTGCTTAGACTGGGAAATATTTTTGGTTTATCTTTTTCTCTAGTTACTCTGCCAATGTCTCCTTGTTGAAATAAGTAAAAAATCTCCAGAAGTCTATGGAAGCTCTTTGCATTGACTGGTGACTTCAGAATTCAAGCAAGATGTTCAGTCTGTGTAATATGACCCAGTATCAAAGGATTTCATGAAGACCTGATACTCATTGTCAAAATGATTACCAAATTGTAAAATTATGATTCATTTCTTTTCAGCTTATTCCTTAACTGTGTGTGTGTGTGTCTGTCAGTGTGAGAGTGGGGGAATTTTGTATTCAAAGAAGATTGAGCCGAGATCGTAGATGATAATTAGATTGTCGTGTTGTTCATCTGTGTTGTGCTAAAGTTACATTATTAAATTATTAATTTTGGTTGAAATTATAAACTAGGGAGCTAAGATTTTGTTATCTGTAGTGTCTGGTTAGAAACAATTGTGCATTCTTAAGGTCATTGAATGTTTCGATTTCACTGCCTTTTGAATTTGTGGTAGTGCGGCTGATATAATTTGGCTTGCTGTCCCTGTATCATAATAGAAGTTACTTGTAACATTGATTGCATAAGTTATTAGGGCCGATGGCCTAAATGTTGACCAAAGAAGTAAGTTATAAGGACATCTTAAATGATGAAACAAAGGTAGGACAGTTTCTTTTTAGGGTGTGGGATGAAATTCCAGAGCTTAGAGTCAAGGCAGTTGAAGGAATGGTCACAATTGATGGCCTTATCAGACCTGGAATTGCTCAATAGGAATGCAGATATTTCTGAAGATTGAGAGGCTGAAAATTACGACCAAGAGAATGTGGAATGAGTCCATGGGGAGACATAAGGTTGAGAATTTTAAAATTGAGACATTGCTGAGGTTAGATTCTATTTAAGCACAGTCAAGGTTGGCAGATGAGTGGAACTTGGTGCAAATTAGAGTGTGGCCTGTGAAGTTTTGGATGAGCTCAACTTTCTAGAAGAGAGAACATGGGAGGGTAGCCAGGACAGCTTTCCAGTAGTCAGATCTAGTGTTAACAAGGTTGTGGCTGAGGCTTCTAGGAGCAGATAAGTTGAGGCAGGCATCAATTTAGATGATGCCATTGAGGTAAACATAGTCTTACTGATGGCTTGACCCAGGTGGCTGGATACTAACTTTCAGGTCAAATATGAGACAGGTTCGAAATAGTCTAGCTCAGTTACAGTAAGGGGGTTGGAGCTGGTGGCTGGAGAATACAGTTTGTGGTATGGAGTGAAGACAATGGCTTCAGTCTTAACAACATTTAGTTGCTGCTCACTGAATGCGTCTGCCGGTTCAGACATGATATGGTGAGTTATAGGTGCATTTGCTGATCGTTTGCCATGCGGTGAATTCATTTATTAAATTCTCCTTTCACTCTTTTTTTTTATCTTTTAATTACCCTTCCACATTTGCCACATCATGAGTTTCTTATCTCCGTTTTAGTTAATCAATTCTTTTTCTGTTGCTTTTTACCCCTCTTCCCACTTAATGCTTTATTCTCTTTACTCTCCCTGATTCCCATGACCTCATTCCCATTTATCTTTCTGTTCCCAGCACCCCCTTTCACATTATCTATCTTTGATTTTTTTGGTCTTTCCTTTCCCTCTCCTACAATCATCCGTTTTCATTTTTTATCTTCCTATTACTCATCCATTTCCCAGCATTTGCACACTGAAGTCTGAATGAAGTCATATGTTTCATAGGTGTATTTTATAATAACAAAGTGGTTCACAAGTTGAGATCATTAAAGTAGTGTTTGAAGCTGTGCTAAATGCATCACTTTGAAGCTGGGTTTGAATTGGACTTATTGTGGAGATGTTGATGGCATATTGAGATCATAACAGATAAATGTTATTAGCTTGTAATAAAAAGGCAGAAATCTTGAAAATGAAGTGTGATCTGCAGGAGCAGTAGAGTGCATTGTACCTGTTTCCTTCCACATCAAAAGCACAGGGAATAATATAGGTACTTTGGATTATAACTCTCCACATCCTATTGAAATCTAGTTTTGAATGAAGTCGGACATTTCCACTATCACAATACCAAGTGCCCTGGTTCATTTCTCCAACTTTGCCTTCTCAAATTAACCTTTTTTTTTCATTTAAGTGCTGAGATCACATATCTATTTTGAGGAATATGTGAAAATCTAGATGGTATCAAACAGTTATGACACTTTCAGGATTAAACAGGATTTCTTTCCCCTCACCAAGAGTGAAGTGAATGTTTTTTTGGAAATGAGGTCAACATTTCAATGTTTGGTGTGATCCATTTGCTGATTACAGAAAGTTAACAGACTTTGGGGGAAAAAAAGCCAAGTAAAGCTTTTAGGAGACACAAAGTAGGCTTATTGCCTCTAATTACTGTAAAACCTAAGCTCTGGAAGAGACTTTGGTACCCTTTTGCGGATGGTTCCCAACTTCCTGGGTATGGTTTCTACTTCTGAAACCTGGGAGATAAAGAAGAAAACCTCCAAAGCTGCAAGCTCTTGCTCTTTTCCACACCCTCCTGCCTCTCTGTGTCTCTTCACCACCACCAACCCCCTGCCTTCAGGTTTTATGTAGCTTTGATCACCACTTGCTTTTAGAAAAGAGTTTTCTTCCATTACAGTCATAATGTAAAAGCTGTGGGCATCACTGATTAAGTCAGTATTTATTGCCCATCCACACTTGCCCTTGAGAAAGTGCAGGTGAAGTGCCTTACTGAACTGCTGCAGTCAATGTGGTCTAAGTACACCAAAACAATGAGAGGGAGGATGTTCCAGCATTTTGACCCAGTGACAGTGAAGGAACAGGGATATAGCTCCAGGTCAATTTGCTGAATAGTTTAGAGAGGAAGTTGCAAGTGGTTGTG